ATAGTATTGCAAGCAATCCATAAGTCCCCTACCGGTTATAGAACCCCAGCAACATTCTGATGGGCCACTGGCCATTCAATTTTACCAGTGAATGAATGACATGAATGAACTTAAATCTTTTGAGTTCTAAGTTTGTCTATATCACTGTAATGTGTTAAGTTTCCATGCCTAGTAAGGAAATTATGTTAATACAACCTTGTCATATTATTACGATGTGGGATTGTAAAGTAAATCCTATAAGGAATGAAGAAGTTGGAGTGAAAAATACCAATTTCTCGAAAAAATCTAAGTTCAAGGGGGACATAATTCTGGAAATAGTCTTGCTAGAGTATTTATCCTTCTCAAAAATGTTGAGTGATAATAAGAAACATATATCGTGGACTAACCAGTTCTCAAACCTCTAAGCATTCAAGAGGTCTTTTAATGTAGATAAAAATATATCTTTTATAAAAATTCTTTACATATATACACTTTAATCTTTATGTAACATTTCTGTAAAATTTGACTGAAATTCAACTATTAAAAAAGCTCTATTTCCATCTTGGAAAAGCACAACCCTCTGTTTTAAAACTAACATGGCCTCTTAAAAAAAGAACCTAACCTCAAACCCCTTCAAGTATCTCTAAAATTCTACTGTTTACTTTAGCCAACAAAGTGATTGTTGTATGACTATCACATGACAATGAAGTACCCTACACGATGCAGTTACCTGCTTTAAGATATTTTTGTCTATAATATTCATTTTCACAAATAGTTAATGGTGTATTTATGGGACTTACAAAGGTAATAGCAATTTGTATGAAATTACGAAAAGTAATAAAATATGTTGTGTAAATATTTGTTCCTATGCACTGTATTCATTTAACATCAGCAGACATGTCTGTCAGAAACTAAGCTTTTATGCACACAAATTCAGGACATCATAGTCACTTCTAGTAAAAAAATAACAGCACATGAATGAAAGGTTTGAGAATAAGTTGGGTGTGAGATTAGGTACTTATACAATACATGAAGTTTGAAGTAGATACATTAGGAAATAAAGAAGTTATTTAAAAAAGACAACATTTTTTTTTTCATAAAAATTCTAAGTTCAAGGGAGGTAATACTGATAATTTGTGTGCTAGAGTTGTAAATCTTGTCACATATGATGTGGTTGATGACCAGAAACTTATATTTAAAGTTTGAAGTAAACACCTTAAGAAATAAAGAACTTATAGTGAAAAAGCTGAAAAATTTAAATCAGAAATCTTGAAATTCAGGCTATTTGTTGCCATAGCAACCAGAATTTTCAACATAGAAAGAAAAAAAAAATGTGCATAATTTCCAGACTGCCATCTACCCATATTTCAAGTTTCATAAAAATATTTTCAGCACTTTTTGAGTTATCACTGCATCCAGTTTATGTGTTAAATTTGCCATATTTTCAGACTATCTGTTGCCATAGCAACCAGAATTTTCAACATAAGAAGAAAAGAAAAAGACGTGCATAATCTCTATACTGCCATCTATCCATATATCAAGTTTCATAAAAATATTTTCAGTACTTTTTGCGTTATCGCGGGATCCAGTTTTGTGGACGGACGGACTGACGGACTGACAGACAGATGGACAGACGGACAGACAGACGGACGGACAGACGGACGGAGGGTAAACCTAAAGTCCCCTCCGGTTAAACCGGTAGGGGACTAATTATTTAAAATGCCATAGAGACAAATTTATCTCAACGCTTAAAATTATCTGTATGAGGTTACATATGCCTAACCGCCCACTGTCAATGCCGCAACTGGAATCATCCATAAAAAGCGCAAGGCTTTTTTGTTACCTCATATATTTCGTAAATTGTTGTTGACGTAGTAAAGTTTTTTCGTCAGGAATCAAATTTCAAGAGTTATAAACATTGTGATGTTGATAACTAAAATTAATGGGCCGTTCTTGAATTATGGATTTGGAACAGCCTTAATTATGATGTGTTTCATTTACATATTTCATTTGCTTACCCAGATAACTCCACAAATTGTTCAACATTTTTTTAAAAATGAGACGGATTAACAGTTTAAAAAATTTGTATCATCATAAGTGTAGGAGTGATGTCATTCAGGAGTTTTGGAGTAAAAGAATGGGATCTACGGAACTGGATAGAAACTGGCAATGAAGGAATCTTCAGAATGCAAATTTGTCGTGACGTTCATAAAGATCTATTTTGAAATTCATAGGGATTCTGTTCAGCTTAAAAGTAAGTGCAATTTCTAGATCTACTAGTACTCCATGTGACTCGATGTTCTATAAATCTTGTTGCTTATTTTTCAATTTAAAGTTTTCCATCATGCATTGCAACTAAACTGTTACATCTTGTAGATCCAGCCTCGTAAAAGAGTCATGAAACGACCCTCATGTATATTTTAAAAACATGACACGTGCTTTCTTCTGTTCATCTTCAAATGAAGAGTACTTCGGCAATGGTTACGGAAAATAAACAGCAGAGATTTACCATAGAGAAATCAAAATTTGATTTCACAAGAAAAGTTGACATTTTACAGAAAAACTCTGAAAAATCTCGATGGTGATTTTTTTTCTAGTTTACAAAAATAGTTTAAATTTTATTCAACCTCGTTTTGTTAATTCATAGCAGGCAAAAGGTCATTTCCATTTTTGATGGGACAGACTATAATTATTTGTGCCTGCAATCGTTATTGAACGGTAGAATTGTACATCAAATGTATCATCTCCTTTGCCTTACACGATAAACAATTTAGAAAATACATATGCGTCATTATATTTTAATTTCTCGAAGCGATGTGTGTATGACATCAAACTGTAGTATTTTATTTTTTTGACAGGTTGTTTTGATTTATTATGCCCCCGCCATGTAATGTCCGGGGCATATAGTGTTACTCTGTTCCGTCATTCCGTCCTTCTGTCATTCCGTCATCATCAGTTTCCGTTCATTTTCTTAAGAACGGTTGGACACATTCAACTCAAATTTGACATATGGATATGTCATGAAAAAATACAGGTCAAGTTCGAATTTGGTCATGGTTCGATGATTTTTGGCAGAGTTATGCCCCTTTTACTTTGAAAATAATATGAAATTTCAGTTTCCGTTCATTATCTCCCAAACGGTACAACACATTCAACTCAAACTTGACATATAGATATGTCATGAGAAAATGCAGGTCAAATTCGAATTTGGTTATGGTTTGATGATTTTTGGCTGAGTTATGCCCCTTTTACTTTGAAAATGATATGAAATTTTCAGTTTCCGTTCATTATCTCCCCAACGGTACAACACATTCAACTCAAACGTGACATATGGATGTGTCAAAAGAATGCGCAGGTCAAGTTCAAATTTGGTCATGGTTCAAAGATTTTTGGCAGAGTTATGCCCCTTTCACTTTGAAAGTAATATGAAATTTTCAGTTTCCGTTTATTATCTCCCCAATGGTACAACACATTCAACTCAAATTTGACATATGGATATGTTTTTGGAATGCCCAGGCCAAGTTCGAATTTGGTCATGGTTCAATGATTTTTGGCATGGTAATGCCCCTTTCACTTTGAAAATAATATGAAATTTACAGTTTCTGTTCATTATCTACCCAACAGTGTTACATATTCAACTTTAATTTGACATATGGATATGTCAAAGGAATGGGCAGGTCAAGTTGGAATTTGGTCATGGTTTGATGATTTTTTTGGCAGAGTTATGTCCCTTTCACTTTGAAAATAATACAGATACATCTTAGGAATAAGCAGTTTAAGTTTGAATTTGGTCATGGTTCAATGATTTTAGACAAATGTATCTTTCCTGAATGTTGGAAAAATTTTGAACTTTCAGTTTCAGCACTCATTCTTATAGCCATTATTTTGGCTACAAATATGCAATATGCTATTTCTAAAAGGTTAAGACTGAATAATTTCAGTGCCTTGAACATTGTATGGAAATGGTTTGTGTTAACATTGAAAAGTTTTAAGGGCTTTGAACTTAAAATGAAAAAAATAATTAATGCACCATCTGAAATGTTGGCTGCATGCGGGGGCATCCGTGGCATGATGACACATTTCTAGTTATAACTTATTGTCTTAGCAGATATCTGATTCAATCTTGCTTTGTTTGTTAGAAATATAGTTTAATGTTGATATATCAAATTTTGAATAATTTTTGCCGATTGGCCAAAATCGACCCAAAACGTATCTAGCCCTTTTAATAATGAAAATAATTATGAAAAAAACCAAAAAAAACGAAAAACAACAAAAAAAAGGCATAAAGGTAATCAATAAATTCAGGCCATCCATTTTTTAAAACTATACAAAATTTGGCAAAAGGCAACATAATGATTATGCTAAAAATGAAAAGATAAAAATCGTCCTCTGACAATACTAGCCCATTTGAGCATTAAAAATGCACAAAACATGATACCCTTAGCAACAAGAGCTGTCACAGAAGACAGCAAAGCTCCACTTACAAAATACTGGACCCAGTAAGGAAAACAAAACTATGAAAGAAAATTCAGTTGTGTATGATTAAGTTTTTAATTAGATCTATAGTAAAAAACAACATTTGTTAACATAAATTCAAAGTTCAAGGGAGTTAAATATGAAAATGGTCTAAAGTTTTGAACCTTGTCACATACGTTGTGGTTGATAATAATGTACAAACATTTGAAGTATAAAGATGATCCCTTTAGAAATAAAGAAGTAACAGTAAAAAACTGTATTTTTTAAGGAAAATTCTAAGTTCAAGGGGAGATAAATCTGAAAGTATTGTAGCTACAGTTATGAACCTTGTCACATAAGATTCGGTTGATGATAAGGAACATATATTTGAAGTTTGAAGTTGATACCTTAAGAAATGAAAAAAGGAAAAGTGAAACAAATGTTACTGCACCAAAACTTTAAACTGAAATCTGGACGCGGTCACGATTAGGACAGCTCTCTTTATTCTTCGTATAGTCGAGCTAAAAATGCGTTATCTATTGAGTAAATCATAGAAAAAAACATACCTACATACGCCCTGTTAGTTTTCTTTATAGCTTCACAAGTAGCACAGCAGTCTTTCCTGATTTGTTCATGGTAACAATTGAAAGTTGTTGCAGGAGATCCAAGAAGATCGGAACAACCAGATCTTTTGTGCGGGACAATGTAAGGGGTATCTCCAAATGGACACGCTTCTGCTCAACAAATATTTTAACTTAATAGTTTGAGATATACATGTACGTTTTTCAACAATATGGTACCTACTTAACTGTAAAGAATTAGAACAAAAATCATCAAAGTAAAGCGACGTTCACAAAAAACAGCCACTACGGCTGGTTACAGTGAGCACCGAAACAATGCGAAGAAAATAGTTCCCTAATAAAACTCTCATTGCCATCTCATTATCAGGAAGCTTTTGGCGGAATTTAGGATTCTTATTTATATATTATTATTTTGGGATGTAGGTTTCATTACACTATACAAAAAAAAACAACAAAAAAACAGCTGGATCATCTAATTTCTTTTTGTAGTGACAGAAATATTCGCAACTAAGTTACAAGCTTCAATTACTTACTTTATTGGTAATAACGCACAGTGCGACATCTCAGATTTATAGCATAAAATCGGCTATTTTTCCCTCTTTTGCCCATGCTATAACGGGACGAAAAACCATGTGTTAACATAGTTACGCGCTCTTGTTATAGCCCGGTAAACAAACAAAAAACTTGACGATCTGGTCTGTTATAGATTCGAGAGTCTCAATCACAAAACGACGAGCAGCAGACAAGTAACAATGCCGGAAATACGGCGTATAGACATCGCCACTGATCTTGGTTGGCACCCTTTCTAAGAAACGGACAGTTGTCAATGTTCACAAATATTTGTAATTTTAAATAACCCTCTGATTAACTAACAAAACAAGATAACACAAAATGAATATGAACAAATGTTTTTTATTAATATAAAAATAAATAATAATATAAAAATGTTTAGTGCCTGACTTTTTTTATATACTTTTGTGCTTGAAAAAAAAATGTCTGTGGTCATTTAATCGATCAGGAACACCCACTTTACTTCAGATTTGCTCTAACGTTATGGGTTTACAGTCTTAAAACCCCTGTCAGACTAGAGCGTCGTTCTCACGGCGTCAAAAAACATTCAGAACGCCGAGGTGAGCGCAGTAAAATCGCAAACATCGCCGCAACATCGTAGTGGCATCGCATAAAACGCCAACCGACGGCGCACATTTTGAACATGCTGAAACAAAACGCGTCACTTGGCCTTCTAATAAGAGCGCAATTGGATCGCAGTAAGGACGCCGTAGCAACTCAGTAGCATCTCTTGCGCCATGAAAGCGTAATTGGCACGCCGAATGAACTTGGTGGTTATCCATGGCGCTTGTACGGAGATTTTGCGGCGTCTCTATTGCGCTTATACTGTGTGTGCACGGCGCCTTTTTGAGCTTTTTTTTATTTTAGCGCAGTGTGAGCGCCGCGAAAGCGCCGTAAAAGCGCAGTAGAAGTGATCCCCTTAGTAAATAATAAGATAATATTATAGAAGAAGAAAAAGTCACACTATACATATTTCTGTAACTTACGGCAAATTTATACTTACCCAGGGTTTGAGTAATATAAGCGGCCGCCATTTTAAAAGTTGTGTGTTTCACATGAGGTATAAAATTGTGTTTGATTCAGAGGAATATTAGGATTTGTTAATCATACATCAATTTATAAGAAAGGAAACTTTTTTGAGGATTACAGACAGTAAATAATTTTTAACAGACGTGTTAACATTAAAAAAGCAGATATTAATTAGGAAAACATGGAATCGTTGAAACGCTGTCTTACGTACGCTGGGTTGTTTACTTTTTCTTCGGGCTGATGATTGTCATTGTTTTTCAAGTTTTCATATTGCATTAGGTAGTTATTTACTTAAATATGTCCCAATGTCATCAAGAGCAGTTTTGCATATGAAAGGAAGTGTATTTTTCAGACTGTAAAAACGAAACCAAAATGTAAACACGCTATTTGGTCATTGGAAATTTGAATGAATTGAAGTAGCATTTTTGTTTTTATTACTTCCAGCTTTGCTTTCTATATACATCCCTGTTATTTCAGAATTGTAAGCAAAAATAATATCTTAAACAAGAGCTTTACAGGAAAATAATTGTGTTTGATTCAGAGGGATATCATATTGATTTGTTAGTCATACACCTTTTTAAAAGAAAGAAAACTTATTTGAGAATTGTATCATACAATATATAAATGTTGACAAATGTGTAAACATTCAAAAAACGGCTAGGAAATTGGAAACTTGGAATTGTTCAAAGACTGCCGCATGAACGCTGGGTTGTTTACTTATTCGTCGGGCTGATGGCTGTCATTGCTTTTCAAGTTTTCATAAAGCATACAGCAGTTATTGCTCGTAGAATTTTAAATATGCCTAAATGTCATAAAGAGGAATTTTGTATGTGGAAGAAATGTATTGTTAGACTGTTAAAATGAAACAAACAAAAAAAATAAGAGACGATGTTTGGTGATTGGTAATTTGGATGAATACAAGTAAGTTTTCTTCTTTTTATTACTTTTGACATTTAAATTATTTATCAATTTCAGCTTTACTTTTCTCTAAACAGCCTGACATTGTCAAAATAATCAGGAAAAATAAAATTGACGTACCACATGGGGAAAATCATAAAAACAGTAGTTTCGTCATCATTAAAAAGTCTGAATTTATATATATGTTTTTTTTTAAAAAACTTTTCCTGTGAAATTATCAAATATAATTTTCACGGATAAATCAGTAATCCACTAAAAAGCATACATGTACATAAATTAAATAAGTTATAATATTTCTTAAAAAAATTCTTAAGCTCAAAGAGATAAATCTGAAAGTATGGCTTCAAAAATTATGAACCTTGTCACATAAGATGTAATTGATGATAAGGAATAAGTTTTTAAGTTTGAAGTAGGTACCTTTAAAACTAAAGAAGTTATGTTAAAACAATAACATTTTTCAAGTAAAAAAAATCTAAATTATGGGGAGATTATTCATGCAATATTAGTGCTAGTGTTATGAAGTTTGTCACATAACATATGGGTAATGATAAGGAGTGTGAAGTTGATACCTTAAGAAATAAAGAAGTAACAGTTAAAGATAGTAATTTTAAGGAAATTCTAAGTTTAAGGGGACATGAATATCAAAATATAGGTGCTACAGTTAAAAACTTTGTCACATAAGATGTAGTTGATGATAAGGAACATATATTTGAAGTATGAAGTTGATACCTTAAGGTATTAGGACCCTAATGGGCACTATCAGGAACTAAAAAATTGACATCATAGGTCAGATGTATACCTTAAAGTACACCTGTATGCAGAATTTAAACAAAGTTTACCGTACGGAAATCAAGTTATGGCCACTTTTCTGAACTCAAGCTAGGATGTTATGAGGGCCCTTTTTTAGAAAGTAGGAACCTTTAAATAATCTGCAATAACATTCTAATGAAAAATGTTTTCCCATTATTTTTTGGTAAGAAACAAATAGTGCCATTCAGCTAACAATCCAAATAAGCAAAATTATGGTTTCTACTTAAAATTTATGAAATCTGTATAAAAATGTTACCCTACCCCACCCATATTTACCACGTGTCTGACCATTTTTCTTCTTAAAATTTACCCAAATGAGTGCCTGTTTTCAAAGTTTCCCTAAATTTTTAAAAAAGTATATTGGTTGATCTTGTAAAATATGAAATACTTTTACCGTCTAGTTTTGATTATATTACACTTTGAAAATATCAGGTACCATATTTATTACTAGATTTAGCATAATTTAGCCAATAAATACCTATATAAATTAAAAAATCCAAATTAAACACTTTTTTCTTTCCAAATGGGACATGAGAGTTACATAAATAATGTTAAAAGAAAAAAAAAGAAAGAAAAAAATGTTGACCCTTCTGGGGATTGAACCCATGGCCCTCATTTTCAAAGTAGTTAACAGTAGTTCTAGCCTATTTGAATACTCTTCAAAGCGGAGGTAATGCATTAGGGTGCTAATACCTTAAGAAATAAAAGTATTAAAATAGTGAAAAATATTTTACTGCATCAAAACTAAAATCTGAAATCTGGAAGCGGACGCCGACACCGGGGCTAGTAGGACAGCTCTCCGTATACTAAGTATAGTCGAGTTAAAAGTAATCTCGTTTTTGAAAATGTGAAACTATTTTTTTGGATAAAATTATAAAAAAAATCCAAGGATAAAACAGTTATCAACTCACAAGCATAAAATGAATTCAGGTAAAATTGTAAAAGGATATAGAGGATATTTGTTTAGGAAAGTGTAAGATCTGAATATATTTCACCGAGTGAAAACCAAAAGGTCACGTCATAAAGTTGGTTCCCAGTACTGTCCACGCTGGTATTTCACTGAAACAACGTAAGGGGCTTAAATTCAAAACAGTGAAATTATATTATCAAATTGATAATTTCACTGTTAAAAACAGTGAAATTACCATTTTTATTTCACTGATATATTTCTATAAACCACTGAAAAGCATGTAATAAATTTCTATAAACCACCGAAAAGCATGTAATAAAAAAGGTAAATAAACAAGTACGTTCAAGCCACAGACATTTTTTTTTTCTAAACTGACAGCCTTATCCCAAGTACCCCTTTCTTTTCCCCAAACTGAATAAATTCGTTATTTTTTTTCTAGCACAAAATTTAGTACTGTCCAGTGACCCTTGTAGTGTTTTGTCTACCGTTACGCTTATACATAAACCAAATGCACTTAGATAACCGTGCTTTATTTAAAATAACGCACACTTTTTTCTAAAGAAGTATACGTTATCTGAGATATCGCACTGTACGTTATTACCAATAAAACATGTTACTGGTGTATAAAAGCTGAGGAACATCAAAGACGAATAGCTGCGCCATGCGGTAAAACAGTTAAAGTATGTCGAACTCGACTGTAATGTGGAATTATTGCATGGTTTGGAACTTTTTCGTTGTTCTTACTAACCCATTATACTAAGTACACTTTATTAGTGTAGTGTTTTCACTGAGGCTCCAATGGGGCAGCGGTAACGCACATTCCAAGCAGCAAAGAAACATTAAAACAAAAAATAAAAATAATAAGAAAGAAAATTAATGAAATGAATTTATTCTCATATAAGAATGCAACTGCTGAAATCAAACGGTTCATCCGCTAAATGAATTATTTCACTTTAAAAAGCCCTTAAAGGGACTCCACTTACATTTTTTGACATGTTTGGACAGAAAAATATTTTTTCCAGATAAATGTACGATTTAATGTAGGTTAAGACCACTTATCTGTGTGCGAAATTTCATATCATTTGCCACTTTGTTTTTCCAGAATTATTATTCAAATGGTAAAAAATGACTCAAAATGAAAAGCGTTTAAACGCTTTTCACTCAAATCGGGCTAAGAAAAGCATAAAAAATACGACTTTCAATTTATTTCAAAGTATATTCTTAACTATATTTGCATACATTTCTGTTTAAAGTGCCCAGCAATTTATGTAAAAAATACACATGTGATGTTTTTAGGCTTTTAAACCTCAAAGGAGTCCTTTTAAATCTTGAATCCGAACAACTTTCTTCACAAACTAGCATAACATGGGATGTTGTTTCATGTTTTCAATATTATATAGGTGTAAGGTACGATATTACGATATTATTAGCTAGTACTGGGGAGTGAGAAGGTGAAACAGAGAAAGGGCACAAGAGAAATTCACGTTTGATATAATAGTTTTTTGTTGTTTTTTTTTGTTTTTTTTATTTTGTTTTTTGTCTTCTGATTTCTTATACGGATTTCTATTACAAAAATGAAAATGTGATAACACAGTAATAGTATATAAAAATTATTAGTTACGGAGATATAACACTGGCAGGGGCGAAACAAATTCTATGAGAAACTTCCCCTTGATGTCGCCCCAGCCAGTGTTACATCTTTGTAACTAACTCGTTTCATTAACTATATCTATTAAATATCATGGCTTTGGGCGGCATCTCGGGTTCACCCTACAGAAAATGTTCTCGGCCTGACGGCCTCGATCATTTCTGTACAGAAAACCCCTCGATGTCGCCAAAGCCATGATGTTTCCACATAACATTCTCGTGTTTATACTATAACTATAACTGAAATTTTGAAGATTGGAACAAGAATAGTACTAACAAGACTTCTTAATAGATTTATGTAAATGTAATTGTTCATCCGTGCTGTTAAACAGAAATGTTCGACGGGAGCAATAGCGACAGGAGAATATTTCTAATTTCTGTAGAATAAAAAAAATCTTTGTTAATTTTCATAGAAGAACAAAAGTCGATAATTAACAAAATTCTGTTCATAGTCGCCTTCTATTTCTCACAGTACTTCACAGAACCGCGTGTGTACAAAAGTGGTGACGTAATAAAGCGAATATTAATGAAGCAAAAGTGCGTTAGTATGCATCCGTAGCTGTTCTACAGAGATTATCGCTATCGCTCCCGTCGAACTTTCAAATTTGTGTAGAAAAAAACGAATGAACACTAACATAATTAATTCTAACAAGACCCGTATTTTTCCTACAAAAAAAGAATTGAAAGTGTGTGTTATTATGCATATGAACACGACCCGCTTTTCCCCGATTAAACATAGAGAAACCGACGGTGTGTTATCATGTAGTAAAATCACAGTTTGGCATTTTATATGACGTAACCATTAAAATATGACGCCCTGAAAATAAGTATGAAAAGAAATCAGGCACAATGTAATGTAATATCAGTAACGGCTTGTTGATGTCATGTTAGAACCGAAATGAAATATTCTAATCGGTGATTTTATTGTTTGATAAAATCACTGTTTGTCGTTAGGATGCGCAACATTTTATATAAAATCTCGCATCCGAACTCCAACAGTGATTTTATTGAGCAATAAAATCACTGTGTAGGATATTTATTATTTTTAAATAAAGTCATTGTTTCACCTTCTATATTAAGACATGTGTAGAAAGCATTATACATGTGACGTAAGCACTAAAATGTGACGCGCTGAAAATAAAGTAAGGAAACAAATAAGCCGTAATTAGGCTAATTATCCGGTACGGCAGCATTTTTATGTGATAATATCGAGTTAGAATCGAAATAGTATATACAAATCGGTGATGTTCGGATACACATCATTATATTGCCCGAGCTACGCCCTCGTGAAATAATTCCTCGCATCCGAACTCCAAACAGTGATTTTATTCAGCGATAAAATCACTGTTTGGGAAATTGGAATATATCATTCCTTAAATAACGTATTGTAAAACTGGAATGTGTAGTTGCTTACAGGTATAGAGTAGGTAGATGCGCATATGCTTGTTTTCACAGTAGATATTTATAAGGGTATTTTAAAATAATTATGATACTTAATTCTCTATGGTATTTTACTATTTATGGGAACTCGATTTGTGCAACGATACAATATTACCTAACAATTTATACTAACGATGATTGTATTTGAAAATCGTAAATATTTTACATTGAAGCTTCACTTACCATCATCGACTGGAGGTGCTAGGGGAGATTCGACGCAATGCCCTAATTGACACATCTAAGGATAAATGCACAGAGTCAATATATTTCTGAGTGATGCAATTATTTTAATTGATAAATGATGATTACTTATTATGGCATAATTACAATTTTAGATTAAGCAATTTAAGAAAAGATAAGGTTGTTTAGCATGATATTAATTTTAATCATTAAGTAAAATCGTACCTTGCCATTTCCACATGTGGTACCATACCATGGAATTTTGGTATGGGTATAACCTTGTAATTTTGGTATAGCGCAAAACAATGTGCTACATATTGTTGAAAAATCACTCTTGTATTTGTTCTAAAATTTAAACAAGACAAAGTTTCAATCACCTTTAATGGTTCATAGATAACGTCATGTGTAGTGAAATGATGATAACTCACAGTGTGAATCCATCATTTTAAACTGCTTTTCTATGAATGCCTATTGATACTTTTGATTCCTATAAAGGTTTATGATAATAGTATGATGACTTATACAGTGTAAATCCATCATTTTAAACTGCTTTGGAAATATATATTTGGTTCCTTTGCATACACTTGACATAGCAAAAATCTGTGATTTATGTAGCTCTGATGAAAAATTTGGCAAATTGTGCTGCATGCTTATTGATTGTTGTTTGTACATTCATTAGTATGATAATCACTGGTTGCATAGTTTTATTATAACAATTCTGCCTGTTTCATTTAAAATATTTTTTGTTGAAAATGGTGAAACATATTCAGTAGATTTTTAGGCAGCTGATATAAATAAGGGCACGTGTTTAGCTAAAAAAATATTTCGAGCTATTTCTACAGTCAAGTTGCTGTTCCTGCACAAGTTGCTTACCAGAAACTTTAAACTTAGCCATTATTTTTAATGGATTGTCTTCATTCTTGGACACAACAATTCTTTGGACAAGATAATCAAGAAGACCAGACTGAAGTTGACCTTGATTCATGAATTATATTGACCTTCGAGATCAAATGTATGAATTTTGATTTTGAATTTTTATTTCCTTCAAATTTGTAGACTAAGACATAAAAGAGAATCAAACTCAATATGACTTTAATGTACTTGATGATAAAATTATTGAATTTCACAGACTTTTGCTAGAATTTACAATATTTTGCTTTGATTTTTACATTGCATCAGCATAGTGAAGGTCATAATATGGTTACTGTCAGCATGACTGGTGGAGTGAACAACCTTGACCACTCTGTCACAGACACTCCTTCTAACAAGACATCCAACAAGATTAAATGGAACTTGACCTTGGATTTAATTTTTGACATACTATTGTTTTTGCCTTTGCCATCTGACCATCCATCAGGTCGTCTGCATTTAGCTTGTCCGGCCTTCACAGGTCCAACTACTGGTGAAATTTCAACCAAACTTTACAGGAGTGATCAATTTTATATGTAGTTATGCACATAATCGGCAAGTTCCGATTCGATGCTCAAAATGGCAACCACAGCTAAAAATAGAAAAGTGTTGTCCGGTCTTCACAGGTCAAACCGCTGGTGGGATTTTAACCAAACTTTACAGGAATGATGAAATCGATACACATCGCCGGTAAATTCTACTTAGCTGCACAAAATGACCACCAAAGCTAAAAATAAAATCATGTCGACTTAAACAGGTCAAACTACTGGTGAAATTTCAACCAAATTTTACAGTATATATCAGTACCATCATATCCCTAGTTATGTACGTTGTGACATCGCCGACATGTAAAGCTCTGCAGCAAAAAATGGCTGCAAGATCTAAAAGTAGAAACATGTTGTCTGGCCTTCACAGCTCAAACTACTGGTGGGATTTTAACCAAACTTTACAGGATTGATGAAATCGATCCCTAGTTATACACATCGCCGGCAAATTCAAGTACATGATTTTTTGTGTCGCCTTGAAAAAGGCGACATAAAGGGATTACTTTTGTCGGCGGTGTCGGCGGCGGCGGTGTCGGCGGCGGCGGTGTCGGCGTCCCTTTAAGCTTGTCATGAGCATAAGTCAGTCAACTTGGTATTCATACTTCTTATAATGTCCCAAAATGCATTGCACAAGAACTTGTACTCTACATTTCTTATTTTTTCAGTTATTGCCCTTTGTTAATTTTCATACTTTATTTTTGTCCGGGCCATTTCTCCTAAAATATAAAAGCTATGGACTTATTGGATGATCGATCTCATTAAGAAGAAGTGCAGTGCAGTGCTTAAGAACTGGTACTCTAGATTTCTTATTTTTTGAGTTATTGCCCTTTGATAATTTTCATACTTTATCGGACCTTGCCGGTAATGTGCATAACTACAAAAAGAATGGATCATTCCTGTAAAGTTTGGTTGAAATTCCACCAGTAGTTTGACCTGTGAAGGCCGGACAAGCTTAATGCAGACGACCTGACGGATGGTCAGATGGCTAAGGCAAAAACAATAGTATGTCAAAAATTAAATCCAACGTCAAGTTCCATTTAATCTTGTTGGATGTCTTGTTAGAAGGAGTGTCTGTGACAGAGTGGTCAAGGTTGTTTACTCCACCAGTCATGCTGGACAGTAACCATATTATGACCTTCACTATGCTAATGCAATGTAAAAATCAAAGCAAAAAATATATATAAATTCAAGCAAAAATCTGTGAAAATCAATAATTTTATCATCAAGTACATTAAAGTCATATTGAGTTTGATTCTCTTTTATGTCTAAGTCTACAAGTTTGAAGGAAATAAAAATTTAAAATCAAAATTCATACATTTGATATCGAATGTCAATATAATTCATGAATCAAGGTCAACTTCTTGATTATCTTGTCCAAAGAATTGTTGTGTCCAAGAATGAAGACAATCCATTTAAAAAAATGGCTAAGTTTAGTTTCTGGTAAGCAACTTGTGCAGGCACAGCAACTTGACTGTAGCAATAGCTCGAAATATTCTTTTTAGCTAAACACGTGCCCTTATTCATATCAGCTGCCTAAAAATCTACTGAATATGTTTTACCATTTTCAACAAAAAATATTTTAAATGAAACAGGCAGAAGGTTTATAATAAAACTATGCAACCAGTGATTATCATTCTAATGAATGTACTAACAACAATCAATAAGCGGCTAACTCAATTTGCCAAATTTTTCATTTCATCAGAGCTACATAAATTACAGATTTTTGCTATGTCAAGTGTATGCAAAGGAACCAAATATATATCTCCAAAGCAGTTTAAAATGATGGATTTACACTGTATCAGTCATCATACTATTATCAAAAACCTTTATAGGAATCAAAAGTATCAATAGGTATTCATAGAAAATCTCATATCATATTCGGTACATTCATGGGCAATTATAATTTTTCTAAATGAATAAATATAAATGAAACTTCTTGTGAAATTTGCAAAAGAGTCTAAGTTATGCCCTTTCAATTTGGGTTGTTTTTGCTTAACATCATTATTTCTATGCAGTTTTAGACCTAACATTTTTAAATAAATCTTCTATCGGATGGACAAGCCTAACAAAGATTTAACAAAATATTACATATTTTTCAACTCAAAGCTTCTTTTTTCAAACAGTAACAAAAACTTAAATTGTGATCAAACAAGTATTTCTCTATGAAACAATTACATTTAGAATTAATTGTTCCATGCCTCCAGATATGCCAAAAGAAAATCAAACTTGATAAAACAGATATTAAGAAAAGTTAAAAGTCCAAGAAATACCTTACATTATGTGCCATCAATGACTGATTTTGCAATATTCACATGATCCCAATATTTCTACAGTGTGACTATCCCCGGGCTATTTTTGCGTATTTTGGAGTCTTTTTTTTGTAAATTATATGGATTGTGTCATTAGCAACATGTACAATAGTCATTACTTTCCTTGTTTACTTCACAATATTTTACATTGATATACAGTTTTTTCAAATTTTCATGAAAAATAGCAATAACCTGGAGGCATGCTGCTTCAAGATAAAAAAACACCCTATTATATATAACATACTTGAGTATCTTTATAGGCTAGAATATCTAGCAACAGCAATGAACTGAGAGTAATGGTATCAAACCCCAGGCCAGTGGGGCCTTTTTTTCTTTAAGTTTAAACATTACTGTTTTACTTTTATATTAGTTAAAGATAGAATATAGTTGGACAAGGGCCAAGTTGAATCAGATTTCTTTCACATGATTTTATGCATTATTAATCACTAAAGGGATGAAGTAATTGTTATACCAGATTGCAATTATTTTTCAAAGTTTAGTGAAATATAAACAATGAATATCATACAGACGTATTCAACAGTGAACAAAATTTCGCAATGTTTACCTGCTTACCTTGTCAACATGGTGATTACGCCATAATACGGGAAAATTACGTACATGAGAAAAAAGTATGTATTCATATTTCATATGCATACAAAGTTCTTACAATATATTTGCACATTTGAAGCATTTTAAAGCATATCTGATTTTAAAAAAAACATATTAGTATATATTGTTTGTTGTAGCGTTCTATGATAGTAAGTTCACATATGACTAAATAATGTTGGTACTATATTTATGCACATTCTTTGACTCTCATTGGACAGGATTTAACTCATTACAGGACTGGGACAGTACCTCCAGTCGCTTGCAAAAATCATGATCACAAAATGGAAAAATATCATGTTTGCCAATTATTACATTTTTCCTGTATACCATGGCAAGTTTTGGACCTATTTTGTCCAGCTTAGATAGCTAATAGAGATGTGTTCAAAAGGTAGTTAAGCACCCCCAAAAATGTAATAATAATTTAAGAAAATATTTTTCCACGTTTCTGAATAAGTCCAGATATTAATTATGTGGTTCCAAGAATAAAGAGTGATTAAACAAACCAATATATTAATAAATTGAAAAGTGGACCGAGTTGGAAAAGGGCCGAGCTGACTCGGAGGCAGAGTACGTTTTAGGTCCGAGCTGACCCTGAATCGATGTAATGCACTAAATTTTGCAGTCTATCAAGCGAAATATATCAATAGCTTTACCAGATTGTGAAGAAAACTTGATTCTACATACGGAATAGATTACAACTAAACTTGTGATCATAAAAATTTATATGAAAACATTGATTTATATGATCACAAGTGAAATAACAAATGACCTTTCACTGAATTTAACAAATTACTTGTTTCTTTTATGCATTTATGGATGATATTTGGTTTTTTATTTGTTTGGGTCGTCAGACCAAACAAATAATGGTAGCGAAATTTCAGACTCTAATGCTGTTAATTGCAAATGCCGAAAATAGTCCGCTTTTTTTACTTCCCTTTATATGTAACACTAAGTCCGAAAAATTCAGGGGAGGTCACTGCGTAAATATGGTCACATGACAGGCGCATTCATTTTCAAGCAAAATAATTCCCGAATGGTCGAAGATTTCTAACATTGTTTTATTCTCTATAGATATACATGCTTATAGTAAACGCCATGATTATTTACACAAGTGTTAAACAACAGTTAGCGTCGTTACAAACCCTAATTTAGAATAATATGGTTTCCTTCAGACTGTTATCATATAAATTCACCGTGGCCAAGGGGTTTGCGCGCTCGCTTAGGAAGCGAGAGGTATGAAGTTCAAATCCTAGGTAAGGAAACTCTTTTTTTTTTCAAATTGTTTAAGTCAAATAAACATTGGATTGAATATCAGTAATGCAATTAGTCTTATAGCCAATCTACTACAATTAAAACGCTGGAAAACATTTGTGGCTCTATACAAAAACAAATTGTTTTATAATCTTACAACCTTCACCTTTCTGACATTCTGAGACCCAAACAAATTCAGCGCCTTCTGTGCTTTGATTTTTCATTGTTTTTTCCACGGTTGTTATTTCACAGTACAACGTCATATTTCACTTAAATCAAGCCAATAGTGTTTCCAAAATAGCTCGGAAACGAAAATAACTTAAAATGCGTTCCAGAATAAAAAAGGAAATTCCAGATGTCCCTTTTCCGGGGGTCGACCTGAAGGCGCTTTTTCAGCAACAAATTTACATGTAAAGAGAGAAATAGTAGAGAGCTGACTTAGGATAAACCTCAGACGAAACGCATTGTACCTGTCCGTTTGTCGGATATATGATACACCACTTTCATTTTAAATGGGCTTATTTTGTAAGGATAATGTTGGAAACTGTTCATTTCACTATTGCAATAACACTTCGGCACAATGTTAAAGGATTTACGCAAGGAAATAAACAAACAGTTTAAAATATACATGTCCGGAAATTTCGGATACAGTTCATCTGAAATCAGGGATCAACAAGGATCTCCACAAGCATGTACAGACAAAACTAGTTTATAAGCTACTTGTATGAGTGTATGTTTTGTCATTCTAAAGCGAAACATGCTTCATCTTGCGTTTTATAGCTGGTTATATCACCAAACATGTTTGTCAAGAATTAATGAAATGTACCTATATGCCAAAGTGTCAGTCTCAAGGTTAGTATGCATAACATTTACTTGTAGGGCTCTACAATATTGCGCAATATTAAAATATTTGATAAGTATGGATTTCTGAGACATATTGTGCCATAAATTTCTGTTTGTTCATAATCTTTGGTATTTAATACGTAAAGGTACGTCATGCCTCATAAATGCTGTTAGTTATATTTATGTTTGGTATCATGTTACCGTTTCATTAAAATAGTACTCACTCATTGTCCATATAGAACATTTTTTTAAATATGTTTAATATGTTTCAATGTTCAAATTGATTTTGATTTTCGCTTTTGATTTTCGATATCAGTAAGGAAATTAGATATGAGATCAGAATTCTCCATAAATAATTTATTAGTTATTTTTATTACATTCGATGAATGTTCAGTAACCTCAACTTTGTCTTATTTTGTGTGTGTTTCAGTTATTATGCATGACATTTTATGAAAAAAAAGAGAAACTTCAAGCTCTTTCTATGCTATGCATAAATTTAATTACAAGTTAAATGTTTTTTTTTTTTATTTTTTTTATTTTAAATAAACACAGAAAAAAGCACGCAAACAATATAGGGAAAAACGATCTAATAAACTATATCATTGAGTTGAACGTTTGAATATATATAGGACTTGAATTGCAGCAGTCTGGTTTAAAACGGACGAGCATTGGCAAGGTACTTTTGTTGTTAGATAAAATTAATAGTTCAGTTTCATTTTGAGTTATGTTTCCGTTTGTTTTTATTTAAGATTAACTTGTGTTACATAATAGTTATCATAAAGTAAGAAATGTATATTTTAATTTATATTATTTTTAAAACGCATTTATTCTTTGTAATGAAATACATGAAGATAGTGTAGAACTTCTCACAAATTGTGTAATTAATCAACTTAAAATTTAACTTTCATTATTTCTGCGTAATGCGTAATGGACTAGCATTTCTTATGCCAGTGTATTTATTGACTTGAAAATGATCAATTTGAAATCGACTGTCAGTAAAATGGACATTATTTTACAACAAAAGAGTTTGCACGATTAGACTTGAATGAAAGCTTATAAATAAGTTTTGCATATTCTTTGAGTAAAGATATTGTAGAACATTAAATTGTCACTTTTGGAACATAAATACATAGCAAAAAGTTATTTGTTAAATGTCTGCATAATCTTGAATATTATTTCAAAACTATAGACAGTTGAAAATGTGTCATATTACCACTAAATATTTTGAAGTAAAACGTTGGTTGAATGAGCTCTGTCTTCTTACCGAACCGGGTTATATAATAATGATATTTACTCATCATCAAAACAATAGATTTTCATGACACCAAAATCACATCATCTCATATATGATTAATAATTATATACCGCTTTTTTTTTATAACACTTTAACCATTTGATGTTTTTATCACATTTCAATCACTTTATATTACATCAATAACTACGTATTTATTTATTGTAATTAATTAATTAATTCATTTTATTCTTATCCATTCATTTTATTTATTTATTATTAATATGTTTATGCATTTATTTACTTATTTATTTATTTATTTACTAGTATTCATATAGTCATTTTTGTATTTACTTATATTTACTTATTTATTCATCCCTTTATTTATTTGTTAATTTATGAATAATTAAAAAAAAAAGAGTAAAAATCCTCCTATCATTAAATGCTATATTAACTGCTTTACATGTATTTTACGAGTAAATTATAATTACCTGTTCATTGTGTTAAAAGTTAGAAAGAAAAGGAGCTTATCTTTCACCTATTTGTCACTTCAAACAATTTTTCTAGGCCAATACTGTATTAATGGGTAATTTGGAAACAAATCCCGGTTAATATAACAGTTATATTGCTAAAGCGCAATATGTTTTCTGATATTTATTTTAAGATTTTTAAGCATAGTTACTGAAGTAAAGTGAGAAAATAGTGTAATATTATACTAAAAATAACTGAATGATTTTTTCTCATTTTGATATCATCATTATTATTATTATTTGTTTATTTTTGTTATCATTATAATTTTATTTACCTAAATAAATTTTATATTTTTGCGCTAGTATTTTTTTCTAAAAAAGGTTATAATTAATGTTAATAATGATTACACTTTAGGTAAACGGATAAGTATTTTGTTTAAATAGATAGCTGATTGACAATTATATGTTACTACAGGCTTAAAAAATATAATATCAATATTAGTTTTAGATAGCTTTTAACCATTTTCTTCTTATTTTTGTTGTTTATTTACTACATATTTTCATTGTAACAATATGTTTGATGGAAAATGTTAAATAAAGTAACGAATTGTCACAAAAACAAAACAAATGTTTGCGTTATATTATTACCCTCCATTTTGTCATTGATAATATCATCTTCAATAAAACAGGGGTAAACAATATGTCATGAAACATTTTCATCTCCATAAATAACAATCAAAGGCAAAGATCATACTAACGTATGAGGAATGCGATGAAAAATGTATCATGTATATTCATTTTATTGAACAGTATTAGACCATATGCGAACACTCATACTTATTTCGGAGAAAGAACTGCATTAATAACAGTATCACTTATCTATTTAAAAGTATAAGAATGATATTCTTCTATGTATACGTATATGTGTTCATCAAGTAACTCCGAACAACGATTTCCAACATTATCCTTAGAAAATAAACCCATATAAAAAAGATAGAGTAATATCATCCGCAAAACGGACAGGTACAATGCGTTTGAGGTTTAGAAGATATGGGAATTTTTCGCCTATGTCAGCCAACACTCTATCTCTCGCTTTGCATGTAAATATGTTGCTGAGAAAGTACCCTTAGGTCGACCCCCGGAAAAAGGACATCTGGAATTTCCTTTTCATTCTGAAACGCATTTTAAATATTATTGTTTAACTAATCAGGGGTAATAACTCTGTGTTTAATGGTCGAACCCGGTAACCTAAACGATATTCTCATCTTCTCTTGATACGAAGTTTCATTAAAATCTAGTCATTAATTTTCAAGAACTAGCACGACGCACAGATGGACGCGCACATGGACAACGCTAAAACATTAACCCTTCCCGAATCAGCGGAATAACAATCTACCAGCGATCTTACTTGGTGATTTTAACAGTGAATGTGCGAAAATTTTGTTTAACAATATATTAACAAAATGGGAATGATATAATCTTGTTAATGTTGACATATTATCAAATGACATCAGATTATCCTTACCCTGTACAAAAACGATCCTTTTCCTTGCATCATCTCACATTGGGTGTCAGGATTGTAAACTTGACCTGCAAGGTCATTTGCATAAGGGTCAATGTCATCATTGCCTGTCGCTGTTCTTGCTGTCATACAGTTTTCAGAGCTTAAGTAAACAACAACAAAAAATGAGTACATTTATTATATACTTATATATGCAATATTTTAAATATTGATTAAAAAACAGACGTATTTTCATTTTCCGTATTTTCTCATTGCAGAGAAAACATAATTTTCGTATCTTAACTGGCGTCCTGCCGAACTATTTTCTTCTTAATTCAACAAAATTTATGGGGAAGATGTAATGTCAAAACTAGAAATGTATCTATAGGACACGGTGTCCCATTACTCCACTGTTTTGTCAATCTACTGACTATAGGTCAAATATTTTTTTAGGCTACACGCGACGTAAGTTAGAAAATCTTTTACTAAGTCAAAAGCAAAAACTCTACAAACACTGAATAAATTCACAAACCCAAAGGTGCATAACTACTACGCATGCTGACCGACATCCTTGAAAACTTTCAAGACTACTGATCAAATACCATTTGAGATATGTATGAACAAGTTGAAAATTCCATTTTTTCCTATTTTAAGAGTAATAACTTCAAAAAAAAAAAAAAAACTGAATAAATCTTCAACCAAAGACTTCAACCAGAGGTACTTCACATGCTGATCAGGTTCATGACTCTAGGGAAATTTGAGCTACGCGTGATATAGATTGAAAATTGCATTTTTACTAAGTTAAGGGCAATAACTCTACAAATACTAAATAACTCTACAGGCAAATCCCCTAGGTGCACATCTACACATGCTGACCAAAATTCCTGTAAAGTTTCATGACCCTTTGTCAAACACTTTTGAGCTACGCACGACACAACATAAGAACGGATGGACTTGAATCGAATGTGTTTAGTAAGTCAAGAGCAATTACTCTGACACAACATAATAAGTCCACAAGCGAAATACCAGGTGCACAACTTCACATAATGAGGGACATACCTGTAAAGTGTCATGTTCCTTTGTCAAATATTTTCTGAGCTACGTGCGACACAATTTGAAAATTGCATTTTTATAACTCAAAAAACTAAAAAAATACTTGATAAATCCAACACTCAGGTGCACACAACTACACATGCTTACTAATATTCCTGTAAAGTTTCAAGACTCTAGTTCAAATACCTTTTGAGCAAATACGTTGCTTGTGAGGTTCAATAGATCAAACAAGATCCAATAAAAGCAAGAGCAGCGCTAAGCGGATCAATTAAATGCCCGAAAATATGTTTCTTGGCAAGGATGAAGCATTTGTAAGGCATGGGAATTAAATAAAGTATTTCATTCTTCAAATAACAATCCTCCAATGAAGTTTGAATATTGTGGGCCATATGGAACTAAAGTTATGCTCCAGAAACTTTTTTCAGTTTAAAGGTAATAGTGACCTTGACCTTTGACTTGTGACCCCAAAATCAAAAGGGGTTTTCTACCAAATATGGACAATAATCATATGAAGTTTGAACATTGTTGCAAATGAAACTTTAGTTATTTTCAGTTTTAAAGTAAAAGTGACCTTGACCTTTGACGTTGTGACCAAAAAACCAATAGGGGTTTTCTTCCAAATATTGACACTCATCCTATTGAGTTTGAACATTGTGGGCCAAATGGAACTGAAGATATGTTCCGGAAACTTTTTTCAGTTTTTATGTAATAGTGACCTTGATCTTTGACCTTGTGACCCCAAAATCAATAGGGGTCTTCTACCAAATATGGACAATAATCATATGAAGTTTGAACATTGTGGGCCAAATGGAACTTTAGTTATTTTCAGTTTTAAAGTAAAAATGACCTTGACCTTTGACGTTGTGACCGAAAAACCAATAGGGGGTTTCTTCCAAATATGGACAATCATCCTATGAAGTTTGAGCACTGTGGGCCAAATGGAACTTGAGATATGTTCCGGAAACTGTTTTCAGTTTTTAGGTAATAGTGACCTTCACATTTGACATTGAGACCCCAAAATCAATAGTAGTTTTTCTGCCTAATATGAACAATCAACCTATGAAGTTTGT